GTTTGTTTTTTTTTGTAATCCATGATTGAATTTTATGTAATCCATGATCGAATTTTATGTAATCCATGATTGAATTTTTTGAAAATTTGTGATTTCTTTTTTTTAATCCATGATCGAATTTTTTTTTGTAATCCATGATAGAATTTTTTGAAAATTTGTGATTTTTTTTTTAATCCATGATCGATTTTTTTGAAAATTTGTTATTTTTTTTTTTTATCCATATTATTCAAAGAGAAAATGAGAGAGATGATGATTATGAGGCCACCCTATCCACAGCCATATTATTCACATATCGAGTCCCAACAGCAACAGTGTAGGGATGAACACGAAATACTGTAAATTAAATGCTGAATGGCGGTTCATGCAGGGAAAGAACATATCAATATTCGTATATTCATTCAAAAACATGAAAATTCTTAACGGAGTACCCTCATTTTTTATTGAATTCCTAAAAAACAATATTTATAATGAATTTTAATAATTTTTTCGAATTTTTTTTAAACTTTATTATGACAGATTCACCGGATTTCCGATCCGGATAGCCGATTCGTCGATTCGAATCTGTTTTTTGGAAGCCCGATCAGGGTCACCGATCCGTTTTTTAAACCATTGATTGAAAGCATTCATGATGTTACTGTAATTTGCCTTAAACATTTCCTGCGTCAAATGATAAAATACCAGGAAAGGGCGAGAGAATGCATGGAAATCGCTTGAAGCGCCCGTGACAGAGGAGGAGAGAGAGGGAAATCACCCGAAGCGCCTGAGATTTAGAGAGAGAGTCAGAGGTAGGGAGAGAGAGATCCTGACCAGGTAGATACAGGGCGTGCAGTTGATAAATACAAAGAGAGAAGCCTAATTGATTGTGTTCAAATCGTAGACACCCTCATCAGGAACAAACGAGAAGGCAATCCGATGAGGTTTCTTCAGAAAAATTAATGGCGGACCTAAGCTATAGAAGCGATCGATGGTGTTCTGCCCTTTAATGGGGCGACTTCTGGTTTCAAGTAAGCAATCGCGGGAAATTGTTTACTGTCATTTCGCGAACTGAAATTTGTCGTGTTTACTGAATTTCTTGTTGAATTGGTTAAGGGAGCCTCAGTTTGGCAATTGTAGGTTAAATTCAGTGGGGGATATGTGATTCATTTGGGGTGTTTTAATCATTTCAATTGTAGTTTATGCTTGCATTCTGCAGTTCATCACTTGGATTACTGATTTGAATGTTTACTCTTTCAGAGAGTAACATTTTGGTCGTTTTTTCTTAGGCTTTGTGCATGTGGATTTAAAAGCATTCAGAACCTTACTAGCGATTTGTTTTTTCGGTCTTCCCTCTCTCTTTCTCTCTTATTGATTATGGCAATTGGATTGTAGAGCTTGGAATTTTCTTCAAATCCATTTATGGATGGGGATGAGAGAAGATGGGACTGGCTTTTCATAGGCAAAAGTCACCAAAGCATTATTGGATTCTGAAACATGAAGCGAATATGGATCATGAGATCAATAACTGTTGTTGGTTTTGGCCTATCTAATGAACATGTGTCAATCTAATTGGTGAGAAAACTTATGCATACAAATGCCACTCATGCCCATGGGAACTGGAACAGATTTTTTATGAGATCTTCACATTCAGTAACTCGATCAATAACTCTTTCAACCGCACATGGCAAGAGGGCAACAACATCACCGATAGCCTGGCCAACAAGGTGCCCTCAATTTCGGCCTCTCATCAACCATGCATAGGAAATCTGAACAAACAAAAACTGCCCGTAGCTCATCCCTCGGTCATTTTCCAAGTTGCTTTTTCTTCCCTGCTGGGCACTTTCAAATGCATGAGTTTTGTAAATCCTGTAACACGTTAGAGGTACTGTGTGACTTATAAAGTATATTCTTACTTAACACAGTCAACTTCATCAAAAAATCTATCATAATTTTTAGAAGATAAGAAGCAAGTGCATCCCAAAACACCAAAAGCATCTAATTTAGCACGGTTACCTCTAAGAATACATCTAAGAATCTTGAATGGAGAGATATTCTAATTAATGAAATTGGTTAATCTTTGCGTATTGTAAATTTATTCAAACTCGTGAAGTACTGGATACATTATTAATGAGTTACAATTCGATTATGAGTGTGTGCTTTGTTCTTTCTACCAGCTTTTTTTGTTGAATTAGTTGGCAATGGGCATGACATATGAAGCAGTCCACGATTGCTTTCAGAAAGCCTAACACTTCACATGGATGTCCTTTGGTGTGGTCCAAAGCTTAATTTGAAATCTCTTCAATGTTTACGACCCTCATCGTAATGGGTTTCTTTAGTAATTTGGGCATTTCAGGCTTCAAATTATTGTTGAGTGCCTGTTGGAAAAATTGTGGCGAAGTTTATTTTCCCAAGTGAGTTAGGATTCTTTCTTTCCATTATTGAGTCCTAAACAATATTCTAGAAAGATCAATCTTCTGGGAGATTATAGTCTCCATGGATTAGAAAGTTGAGTCTTCGAATTTTGATAGGTTATATCTTTCCTTGTTTTGCTAGTTAAGTTAGTTCCCTAATTTTGTAGAAGAGTCTAAAGAGATTTTGTCCATGTTTTGTAAGGGCCTAGTTTCCAGAAACTATAAAGGAACTACTTACCTAATTTGATAGAATCTAGAAGATTAGAAAGTTTAGGAAACTAGAGATATCCCTATCTAAGAGAAATAAAGAGGGATTCAAACCTCTATAAATACCCATGTAGGCCTATGCGTAATGTAGTTCAAGTTGATCAACAAAATTTCAGTTTCAGTTGTAGCGAGATGCCACTTTAGAGGAGAGCATGCTCAGCTATTTTTGTAGAGATATTGAATCTACAACTCTAGCCTGATTTTGGGAAAGTCCCCCGAAAGTTTAGGGCCACTTTCTTCCCTTGGTGTGTAGATTTCCCAAGACCTTAGCTTATGGTTTTAGGGGTTCGCCCCAAACAGGCTTGAACCTCTTCTTCTTTCCCTCTTGTGTTACACTTCTCTAGCCAAGATTCGATCAACCAAAGTTGTCACCCTATTCTACCCCATCAAATGGACCCTTCCCTGGTTTGAATAACATTGTTCGACACCTTCCTAAACTCATCACCCATACCCCTAAGCCAACTAAAGCTAAATTAGCCCTAATCTTGTCCAACCCCTTCAAATCCATCACTTACTGTTGCTGGACCTGCACTTTTCCAGCTACTTCAACTACCTTAACACCATTTAAACCTAACCCTATTTGTTGCTCTAATCACATCTAACCCTTGCCTATCACCTTACCTACAATCCTACCCTATTTAAACATTGAATTCCTGAATCCTATTCGAACTAAGAGAACTTGATACCCTCAAACACTGCTGTCCCATATGTTTGAAGCCCATTTTGCATGTCACACTTATGTAGGAGTTAAATTTCCCTTGGTTCTGCATCAATATTGGTCAATTATGGCTCAGAAAGTGAGCAATGTCTGGAACATATGATATATAGAGCCCTCTAAACCTATATTTGGTGTTTTTTTTAATGCTATATTGTGTCATGATACATAATATAATTTGGAAAAAAAACTAAGTAGATCATCAGAATTGAAATATGTATAGCCTAGCATATAGAGTATAAAGATCTATAAGTACAACATTATAGCTAGAACCTCCTTGATGATTGCTTGGCTGGAAGCATCTAGAACTAGAGATTTGGTAGTTTTAGTTTTCTTCTCCCATTTAGATAAAGCCCTCTCTTTCTAAGAAGAGTTTTGGAGGCGTTTCTAATATTGGAAAACAAACTTCTCATCTTGCACCTCATCCCAACTAGATGGGTGTTGGGTTCTTAACAAACCTTAAAGGAGGCAAACTAGGAAGGCCGAAAACAAGGAAATGAAAAAACGTTTCATGACTTCTTGCCATGTTTATTGATGATACTCATCTTCTGTGTGCTGCATTGGAGCAAAGGCTGGCCTTTGAGTTTATATCTCTTATTTGATTCGTGCATTCATGAATTTTCTTGTGGGGTAGGATCAGTGTTTTGAAACTTGGCGAGACTGACTTGGATGCTCGGCAGGGTCCCAAACCCCTTAAATTCGGGAATGGCATTGGGGGGGGATATTATAAAGTTATAAAGAGGTAAAAACCCTTCTTTAGGATTTTTGGCATCAAGAATGGTTAAATATGTGAAGAATAAGTGAATCGAAGTGAGAATGGGACAAAACACCTGCCAAAGGTCCCTTTCGGCAAATTAATATTAATAGCAATAATAAAAGCATTGAAAAAGGTACAAATGGTCAAAGGGGGCCTCACCTGCTGACCAGCATACAATTGTGCAACTTGGGAAAAACCTAATCGTAGATCAAGACATCTGATTGACTTGTCAGCTAGCTTTTCAGATAAACAAGGAATACCATGGTCAAACCCATGGAAAGAGAAAGGCCAGGGGAACACTGGCCTCTTGATTGAAAGTTTGAAATGCTGCGTATTAATGCAAGTAAGGGCGTTTTTCAAACTCAGCGCTGCTGGGTGAGTCGACTAGGATCCACCCTAGTAACTCAGACAGGCCAAGGCCCAATTTTCGAGCTTGAGCAGAGTTTGAACCACTGGGTATGATCAATTGGTTCAATGCACATTTAATCAAATTCTCAGGCAGAGAAACTACTGCTTCAAATTTACTGGTTGGGATCTATCAAATTTTACAACCTCTGCAAAGCAACCGTCTTACTTTGTATCTTTCATTAATAACTAATCTCAATATCAATGTATTTACACAATCACACTTTACACATGTACTCCACCAAAATTAGAAACTCATATAACGTTAATTGGATAGGTTATTGTCAACTCTTTTCTGTCTGCACCTTCTCTAGTTAATTTGTTAACTGCTTCATCTGATTTTCTCCATATTAGAATTTCATCTTTGGGTGCATAATTCATTTAATTTCACTGAATATGTAGGTCAGTCTGCATGGGCAGTTTGCTGAATTTGATGCCTATGATACCACATTAGCTGAATCCCCTTCTATTCATATTGTGGACCAAATTCATCTATTTCTTCATCCATGGTTTCGAGTAAAAGCTTGATTCCCAACCATTTTACCCCTCACCATTCCATATTTTCTGCTCTCATGGCTTCTGGAGACTCTGATAACCAGGTAGAGTTTTGGGCAATGATCTCTACCACAGATTTATTCTATCTCCCACCACCACCATGTACCCCAAGTGTTTAACAAAGTGATTGTTCTCTCCATAAATGGCTCTCCATGGTCCTGATGCTTTTTTAACGTTTCTATGCTGTTCACGCACCATTCAGAGACATCAACCCCTTGATGATGTGTTACAACTCCTTTCCCACATCTGATCTTCCTTAAGTCCCAGCCTCGACCACCAGTTGTCTAAAAATGCCTCATTGATTATACCCATCTTGCGAATACCCAGTCCACCTTCCTTCTATGGCTTCCACATGACTTCCCATATGACCAAGATAAATTTGTTCATTATGGCTGAGGCCTTCCACACTAACTCTCTTTGTAGCCTTTCTAATTTCTTGACTACTTTCGTAGGCATTTTAATCATTGACATTGAATACTTAGTCTTCACGTAGTCAATCTTTTCTCAAATATTTGTATCACTTGATCCCACTATGATATGGGTGGCTTTCCAACATGCATAGGTAAACCATAAACCTAACTATTTGTTTGGGAGTTCTGCAACCTCAAATCTGGGACATTTTGCCAGAGTTTAATTCCTTATTCTCTACATTTATTCCAATTAACTGGGTTTTATACATGTTAACCTTCATCGCTAAGGCCATTTCGAAGCACCTAGAAAATACCATAGGTTATGAACTTGGATTCGTATTGGTTCACATGGTATAAGAATGTCATTTGCATATTTTAGTTGTGATATTACACTATAATGGTTCCCCCAATTGAAGTAGAAAATCCACTTAGCAAGCCTGAATTGCACAATTCTAACATCCTTTTGAAAGCATCTCTTATGATGGTGAATAAAAGGGTGACAAAGGGTTACCCTGCTTTGAGCCCCTTGAAGTTGCAAAGAAACCTTTAGACTTCCACCACTGATAAATTTGCTATAGATGGACATCCTTGAATCCATTTTTACTATCTTTTGCGAAATTGTATTCTCTGCATAACTTGGTCCAGAACATCCACTCTTTATGATTGTAGATTTTTCCGTAGTCTAACTTACAAACTAGCCCAGGGCTCTTATCTTGTTTTCTTCTTTGTATATGTTCATGGGCCACTCAATGCTATCAAGTGTCAACCTTCCTCTTACAAGCATACCCTGTGGGAGTGATATCAATTGGTCTAGCTATTCTTTAAGTCTAAAGAGAAGTGTTGTTGCTAGAATTTTGTAAACACTTGTATTAGACTTGTGGTCGAAAACTCTGAAGTTCTTCTTCCCCATTAGGATTAGTGTAATGAAGAATGCGTTCATGCTCTCATGGATTACTCCCCTTTAAGGAACTCTTTCTCATTTGCACGAGATCTTCCTCAACTAGGCACATAAATCCTGAAAAAGGACCATTGGGAACCCATCAGGCCCTGGTGCTTAGACCTTCTACTTAAGCTGAGACTGCTACTTTTATCTTCTCCTTCTCAAATGGCTGCTATAGTCAAGCACTTCTGTTGTTCCGTAGACTGAACATGCTTCATCTCCACCACTCATCTCACCGCTTTCTCTCTTCTCTACCAAATCACAATCTCTCTCTTATCTCTTCTCTTCTAGATCACAATGCTTCTTCGCCCTCTCTGTGACCCTACCTTTGAGTACTGTTTGCTGTAATGGCCTACATCTTGTGGGCTAAAATTATCTTTTCCTTTTTTCTTTTTAGACCCCATTCTTGTAATAGAGCACCTGTCTTGTGTGGGTCGCCTAAGGGGTTATTGTGTATTATATCTATATAACTATAACAAAGCTAACCATTTTCAAAAAAAAGAAGAAGAGAAAAACAGCTCCGGTCTTAGTTTTGTTCTGTCTGTTGATGTCAGAAGCTTCTTGAAATAGCTTACTATTGTCTTCTGTATCTCTGATTTAAGGACCATACACTTATTTTAGTATAGGGCATGATATTATTACTCCACATGCAGTTAACAATCTTATGAAAAATTTGAGTGTCATGATCCTCCTCCTTTTGCCATCCCTTTCTCCATCGTTGCCAATGAATGTTGTGTTGTCACTGTTCATGGTTTCCTGTGATTAGATCTTGGCTCTGTTCTTTTGTTTATCTCTTGTCAGCTAGACATCCTTCTTCTTCAAGATGAAATAGTTTGCTTATCTCCTTCAAAGTACTCTCTGTTCCAGACATTTAGCAAAGAACATTGATCCCTACAAGATAAATGGTAAAGCAATGTTAGAAACACATTGGAGGACTAAAAACATCAAAGCATTAAACTATTCACAAACACTAAGAAGTAATTGTGATAAAAAGATTATTTTAGAGACTGAGGTCTGTATCAATGACTTCGTATTTGTGTGGATGATTTCTTCATCAATTCACTGTCCAACGAACGTGATCAACTACCACTGGATTTACAATAAACGAGGGGGAAACATGGGGTAGATTCTATGGTAGTTATGGGGGTAAGAAAAGTTTTTTAGGAAACACCTTTCTTAATTTGGAAATTCCTCTACCTGATGGCTTAAATCTCTCTCAAAGATTTCATCCATGTTTTATTCATCTGAGTTTTGAGTAGGCTTTTCTAGATATTCTAGAATGGTCCTCTATAGAAAAAGTACAAATACTTTCAAACTGTTGAACCAGGATTCAATATGAGGATTTCCATTTTTATTGCATCTTATTTTTTTTGTTTTTTGATAATGTGAAAGTCATTAGTCTAACAGTTTAACTATTCAGATCAATGGTCAAACTGGATTGGACTGGACAGCCATTTTTCCTTGGTGGATAGAGTGATGTTGATGATATTATCTTTTGGGCTGTGCATTCCAATGATGATTCTTCAACTGGCCACTGAAATGGATGCTAGATGCTATTGAAATGTGCTTTGTGATAATTTTCTTATTTAATATGTCATGTTTAACTATAAATGACTTAGCATAAGTCGTTGGAATACCCTACATGGTTCTATATCATAGGCCCTGCCCTTTCCATATGATTTATTAAGAAGTACTTTTTTATTACTCTCTCAGAAAATGTAATCCTTAATAACTAATGGCAGTGGACTTCCAACAGAGTAAAGGGCATTTCGGTTATGGTTCTTGCATGCTTCACTTTTACAGTTTATGGCATCCGACTTATTGCCATTTGTGCATCCTAGAAGAGTTTATTTGTCTTCTTTGGTAGTAACCTTATTAAAGCAATGTGTGCATTCTTGATTGTGTTCTGTATACTGATGGTAGGATTGCATGAGAATCTCGTGATCAATTTTCAGGAACAAAGTGCACACCTATCTATACTATATTAGTAAGAGCAGGTTTTGTCCCGCTTTTGTCGGAGTTTAGGATATTCCATACTTCGCACTAGCATGCAATACGGTACTTAAATCCAATATTCACTAACCAGTTTTATGCAAGGACGGTAGATGATGAGTTGTTGCACACTTTTATAGCCTCCCTTGTTTTATTGGCAGGACCAATTGCTCAACTCCACTGGCCATGATAAGTATGGAATTATGTTGGCCATGAGTGCCATATAGCTTCGAGACCCTAGGACAAAATTGCCCTTTATCTTTTATTTTATTTCCAAGGGTACCCAAGAGGGACATGCCTGAAAACTCTCTTGCTCTCTCATATTCATATATATATATATGTGTGTGTGTGTGTGTGCACGTGCCAATGTGCATCTCATGGGATTGCATGCCACTATATTCTTAAATCTTCTTCGGCTTGCTGTATAAAAGACGTTCCAGACAATTAATTGCTTTTTCTTGCTTTATGCATCTATTCAATTTCCCAATTCTATGGCCTTTGTGTATTTTCTTGTATTTCTGGTACTCAATATAGTCCTATAACAGGTATAGCATCCATAGTGACAAACAATGTCAAGGCCCATGGTACTGGTTTTCCTACTAGTTGTTTTGATCATCACATCACAGTTTGAATGGAAACAACCGCTAGTGAATGATGCAGAATCAAGTCCAAGCATTTCCCAGAAACAACAATATATTTCAAAGAAAGAAGAAGTTGTTAAGGAAAAGGTAATTTGTTTATATATTATTGTGTTTAGGCTTATCCTCTTATTTTTTCGTAATGTCTTCTGTCTGGGATTTAGCACTTGCTTTTCTAGATGACAATTGCTACTTCCATTGGTGAAGAATCTTTGGGAGCCAATTTCAATTATATTTCATGATCACTTATTGTTGTTATGGTCACATTACTTTGACTAAATGATAAGTATCCCTGATTGCTACTGCAGATTGATCTTTTATATTTTGCATCTTGAGTAGAGAGCAATGCTTTATGGCTCTACTATAAATATCTTGATACTGTGATATTTGAAATAACTCCATATTTCATTTTCTTCTGATGAGTCATGCATTTATAAGATTTCTTTGTAAACTATGCCGGTCAACAAATGCCCTATACTTTTCTTGTCTTGGTTATATCACCTAGAATATATACACATCTTGCTGAGTCATTGTCAGGAATTGTACTCATCTTGTGCAAGCTGCTGCTTTCTGCCGGAGAAAAGAGTAGGGGTCAAATTTTTGTAATTGTTTATATGAGGCTATACTCACTGATCTTATAACTGCTTTTCCAGTGCATAAATATTTCAAAAGTTGTTACTTTATTTTAAAACAAATTTAGCAATAGTGGTGTACCTAGAGATTTAATTTGGTGGGTGTTGGAAAAGAAAGGAGTCTTTAGATGAGAGATATGTACAAGGGAACGCTAACTGGTGTGCAAACAACTAGTGGAGAGACAAATGAATTTTCAGTGACAATAGGCCTACATCAGGGGTTAGTGTGGAACCCATATCTCGTTGTTTTATTTATCGATGAGTTAACTAGGCACCTAGAAGATGAGGTACCATGGTGTATATTGTTCATGAATGACATAGTTTTAAGGAAAAATATCTCCATATACCTTAATTTGATGTACTATTTCTTATTAGACCCTCAAGTATAGGATCTATCTAGTGACGTTAAATTTTTTAGAATCCTATCTTCTAACCCCTTGAACTTGTTAACCCAAAAGTTTTGATTTTAATTCTATTTTTTGCCCTAAACAAATACATGAATTCAATACACACGCTCATCCTCTTTCTTTACTCTGACTTCTCTCATTTCCCTCTCTATTTCTGAATCATCCTCTCGCTTTCATTTCCCTTTTCTTCTCGCTTTTTTCTCTCTTCCCCATTCTTTCAAGTTTCAATTGTTCAAACAACGAAACACTCACTGTTTTTCCAAATTAACATCAGTCGCAAGCAGTGGAGCCTCTATCAACCTCTTCTTTTTAACCCTTACTTTTTACCTCTCCTTTAACGCTAAACATTGATCGGTATGAGCATTAACAGCGTTGATTGCTGCAGACAAAGTGGTTTTGGATAAAGAGAGCTTCGAGACCGCGGGATTTTGAAACCACATTAGATTTGATGGTAGTTTCTGGTTTTGGATAATCCGAATTGAGTGGTTTTGGAGCGGTGGTTTTAGAGCGGGCAAATGGAGAAAGTTACATCGGTGAAGGGATTTCCGACAACCACCACTTGACTTTCCGGCAAGAGATGGGTGGGAGAACACCTTTGAGGTCACCGAAAAACGGCCAACTTTCTTCCCGTCTACGGTTCTAACCTTGATACATATTCACTTTGAAAAGAACAAGCACACACAAAAGGAGAAATAGAATCCCAAAATTTTATCACATAATACAAAAATAGAGAAGAGAGTTGCTCTATAGAATGAAGAAGAGTGTTCCAGAGAGGGCGAGAGAGCGAGAGCAAAACAAAGGGAAATGAGTAAAGAAAGAGGATGGGCATGCATGATATTTGTGTATTTGTTTAGGGCGGAAAATGTCATAAACAAGAGAAATTTATGGGCTAATAGGATTCAGGGGGTTAGAAGATAGGTTTTTAGATAATTTAATGCTAATAGACCCCTAACTTGAGGGTCTATTGAGAAACTATATGACAAATTAGGATGTATGGGGATATTTTTCCTAGTTTTAATTAAACTGACTAGAAGCTATGTCAATGCAAAATTAAGACTTTGAAGAGATGCTCTAGAATCTAAAGGTGGTTTTAAAATTAGCCGGACTGAGACAAAATATATGAAATGCAAGTTTAGTAATAATAGGAGTAGGAACGAGGAAGTGGTTACGATTGAGGGCAAAGAAATACCTAAAAGAGAGTATTTTCGACATCTTAGGTCGATAATCTAAGAAAATGGAGAGATTGAGGAAGATGTCGCATATAGAATTATAGCTGGGTAGTCGAAGTGGAGATGTGCAACCAAAGTTTTATGTGATCGTCCCAGAGCAATGAAGCTGAAGGAGGGGAAGTTCTATAAGACCGCTCTGAGCGCAGCTTTGTTTTATGGGACGGAATGTTTGGCAGCAAGAAGCAACATAGCCATAGGATGAGTGTAGCTGAGATGAGGATGTTGAGACCATTATTAGAAAAACCGGGTGATCTAACTGGTAACCAGCCTGGTTAGATCGGAACTGGCCCCTTGTCGATTCCGGTTTCGAGTGGTTTTGATGAACGGCTGGTATTTTAAAAATAAGAATTCAAAAAAATGTATATAAAATCCCAAAAAAAAGGCATTTGATTTGTAATAAATTTTTTAATATTTTTTACATTATGGTAAATATTAAAAGTTGTTTTGGTCATTAATACGCACTTTTAAAATCCAATTTTTTCATTAATTTTCAACGTCACTTGAATGCATTTTGTTTTAATCATTATTTATATGCTTTTCATATTTTAGTAGATTTTTTTTTGCATATTTTTTATTTTTTTCTACAATTTTTTGGTCGCCCTAGACTTGCTCGATTAGAATGGTTGAATCGGCAGGTTTACTGGTAGGCCTCCGACCCCATGTCTGGTTAACCGTTTCGGTTCGATTTTGCGAACACTGGTTGAGATAGATGAGTGACAAAACAAAAATAATAGAAATTGAAATGAATACATTTGAGGGAATTTAGGTGTGGCTTCAATAGGCGATAAGATGAGGGAAATAGACTTGGTGGGCTGGCCATATGCATCTAGACCTAATACAACACTGGTTAGGATGTGTGAGAGTTTCACATGGAAGGCTCTAGAAGTGCAATGTGAAGGCCCTAAAGGACATGGATGGAAGTAATGAGAAAAAATATGGGGGCTTATAGTCTTACTGAGGGGTTTGGCGATGATGGAGCAGAATGGCGGAATAGGATTTGTGTAGCTGACCCCAAATAGTTGGGACAAGTCTCTAATAATGATGATGATGATAGTGAAATAACGCGGAGAAGATGAAACACATGTAGTTTGTGGAGTTTGTAAAATTAGCTGTCTACTTTGGATTGTGCATGAATGAGGTTAAGTTGTTCAATTTTACATATAGATGCTTCAGGTCGTAATTTTAGCATTAATATGTTTGTAGTAACATTTGCCTAGGGAAAAATCTACCATACTATGGTTGTGTATGGCATATTGGTACATAGCTGGGGAGTGTGCTGTGCATTCTTAGGAATGAATGGTGAAAGCTAAGCATACCATCATTGGGTACTGCAATTATAATATCTGGTCTTGAGAAGGGACAGGAGATACCCCATCTATGTAAAATGTGTTTTACACGGGCTGTGTATGATATGTTTCCATTCATCTAATATTAAAGAAGCTGCTCTCATCTGATGAGACAGGAGTCGCATGCCAATGGTAGATGTTTGCTGTTGCACTAGTGTGATGAGAACAAAGTTTCTTGCAATTGCTAAAATCACTGATAATTGGGAAAGGGCTTCTCATAGATTCATGACAGAGAAAGTGTGCAGATAACTAACAGGCCTTGTGTGTGTTTCTGTGCTCGTGTTAGCATGCGTATGTTCATGTGTTTTATTTGTGATAATTTTGTCCTTTTCAGGTGAACTTTTAGCATTTTAGTTTCGATTCATACTCCTAACACCGGTTGTTAGGGCTCTGCACTTGTTATACATGCATAGTGAAGTATGTTCCCATTTGGGCATTCCCACTACGTATACTATTTTATTATATATAAAGCTGTAGGAGATGGAAGCTTTGGTTTCCATAATGGATTCCGAATTTTGGATTCCAGAATTTCTTTCTCTATGGGTGAATCTGGAAATCTGGTTTCGTACCAAATTACATCCATATATGATTTGTAAGAAAGTAAGTTTAGTGTGCATGAAGTAAACGGACTCGGATTTGGAAGGTTTTTAAATTCCTGCCACAACACCATAATGTAAAGTAATAGTAAATGAATGTGATCACTTCCTCGGTAAAGAATTATACAACTGATGGACTATGGAAGGCACAGTCACGGGGTCATCATTGTCTGCTAAATGATGGATGTCATATATAGGTAACGGGACCCATCTTTGTGTTCATAGCTTCTTCTGATGGGTCCTGTTCTCTGTCACCTTTGATTGCTTCATGGGATGGTGATGTCCCCCAGTGGGTTGGATTATAGGGTTTACTTTTCTGTTGGATATATATATATATATATATATATATATATATATATATATATATATATATATATATATATTTAGTGTCGTGTAGTATACTAGTATAGTATAAGTAAAGTAATAACGTAACCGTTACGTTAGTAAGTAGTAAGGTAAACTAAATAATAACGTAA